AGCAATGATCCAATGCAACGATTGTATCATAGTATAATGCAATGACACTTCTAGAAAACCATATTTGTAGTATTTGTATTATCCCAAATTTGCACACACACTCTCTTCATCTCAATAATCAATCCCCCAAAAAAAAAAGTTCAATTTGATAGTCAAAATGAGTCCCCTCCAATTTATGATTGTTCATTGGAATGAAAAGAATGTGTATTTCAAAATTTGGATTTTTAAGGTTGTTGCATCATATTACAATACAACAGTTACATGAAATCATTGCTATATATATGTTTGTGAGAGAGAGTAATTTATTAGCAACGAATTAACGTGGCTTAGCATTGATCATGAGATGTTGAGTAGAACCGGAGCTTAGACTGTTAAGATCCAAGATTGATAAGCAACCCTTAGGAATAAAAAGGCAACATCAAGGTAGGCTCGAGCAATAGCAGTCCCAAGCCTTAGGGACAAAAGGTAAGAATAGGGCATGCTCGAGTAATGGTAGATCCAAGCTTGAAGGACATGGCAGGATCGAGCAACATCAAATCAATAGACTTGAGCAGTGGACAAAAACTTGTGTCTTCTTTGCAAAAAGAAAAACAATAGACTCAGCTGAAGCCAACACAACTGGTTGTTGATGGTGCAAACCTGAAATAGATTTAGCAAGTTGATTAAAAAACCGCTTGCATAAAAGAATAGATGGAAGACTCGATCATACATGAATAGGACAAGCCGAAGTTGAACTCAACCTCTAATACCAAGATAGAGTATCAGGTTTTATGTAAAAAGCTTACTTTATAGGGAAATTGCTAAAACCCCCAAGATAGACTTTTTACCTACTTTACATCCCAGCTAACTTTTTCCAGCAACTCCCCTACAAAAACTGATGTTTTCTAGCTAATACCCCTTACACAAAAAGTTTATTTATTTTGGACGAAAATACCTTTTTTTCACATAACAAATTATTTTTGTTAGAGAGGGCAGTTCAGCATTTTGAACCGGCGGTGTGGCGATTTTTTTTTGTTAGAATGAGTGGTTTCTTTTTATTGGGATCCGAAAATGATTTGTCATGTGAATGGAGGGTATTTTTGTCAAAAAAAACATAACTTTTTGAGTTGGGGGTATTAGTTATAAAGATAGTTTTTGAAAAAAATAAGTAAGAAAAATTTAAGGTAGGGGTAGAATGTCTAAAAAGTATATTTTTGAGGGTTTTTAACAATTTTCCTTACTTTATATTGATTTATCTTTGGAATATGCAACCCTTATACTTGTCAAAAATATGCAACCTTTATGTACATAAATCTAATGAATAGTGAGAATGGAAATAAATTATGAACACCTATATTATACTAGCATTTACCATAATAAAAGGATATTTCACCAATATATACTAACACTTACCATAAAATACGAGATACTGCATCTACCCTTCCCCTATAAATCTAATGAATAGTGGGAATGGAAATAAATTATGAACACCTATATTATACTAGCATTTACCATAATAATAGGATATTTTACCAATATATACTAACACTTACCATAAAATACGAGATACCGCATCTACACTTCCCATACATGTTGATGATGCTATGTACCTATACCAAGCTCGTAGACCTTAACAAATAAGGTACTCATAACTAACATCTATTGTCAATATCTAAGGATAGTGAGCAGTTGTCCACTTTTACAGGCTCAATTTTTTCGGAGGGAACGATTAATCAATTCCACCACCTAAGCGTGGCTGGTTCATCAATTCCACTACCTAAGAGGGGCTAGTTCATGCAAATAAATGTTAAAAATATTTTCTTCAAAATGAAACGAGGAAAGTTCAAACTTAAATGGGAAACAAAAAAATGTATATAACTGCATATTAGTTATACACCTCACAACTTTCCAACTAAATGAATATTATGGGAATTCCAAGAGAATAACTGAGATTTCTTTTCCTTTTTTTTGTTACAAATGAAATCAAAATTTGCCAAGTACAATAATACTCAAATGCAAAGAAATAGGATAATAAAATTAAAAAAAAGTATACAAAGAGACAATTTACTTTTAAATACAACAAAGTCACAATCCAATTCGAGATCTAATAGCTAGTAGTTATTGTGACTTTCTTATATTAAAAATAAATGGTCTTATACTATACAATCCCAAAAATTAATATAGTTCTCAAATGGGCAAGATATTTTGGACTTGAAAGGGATTCTAGCTAAAATAGTGGGCAAGGTTATTGTCAAAAAAAAAAAAAGGTTGGCAAGGTGGTTTATGCCTGTCAAAAGTCAGTTGCAAATATTATGTAACGTTTGGGCCAATATTTATTTGCAAATAATAGAGCAAGTGTGCATGCATGCATGCAATCGTGTGTAAGTGCCAATATGCATGCAAATTTCATTTTCAGGGAAGATATACGGTTCTTTTGAGATGGGAAGAAAATGCAACCAACAAACAAACTAATTACAATCAATCAAAGATTTCTCCAAGGGTTCAAATATAAAATCTTATACATCAAACACAATATGTCAATATCGGCCTGGTTCAGTCACCCAAAAAGGCCTGCTTCACATATTTTCATAATACTCCTTTCACTGTCTGGCAAAGCAGATAACACAACAGCTTATGCTCTCCTTTTTTTTTTTTTTTGGTTTTTTTGGGTAGTTTAGCAGTAGGAATCGAACTTGAGATATCGCTGCTAACTGTCAGCGGCTAACCACTCAAGCCCAAGCCTGATTCCTAGCTTAGGTTCTCTTGTTGCGAAGAAGGCCAGCAATGATCCCACCAAGTTCTTCCCCACAATCCTCTTGAGCATGATGACCAGCCTGGAATTTCAACAAAGGCGCAAATAGTTAAGTATTAACAAAACTGACATTGCAAAAAAGAACAAAAAGAACAGGGAAAATAAAAAACCTATTCAAAAATGAAAAATTTGTAGGAAGCTTGGTTCATTATGCTATAAAATGAGAACAATTGGAAAGGAAAATTTTATATAATGTGTCCCCCTTATACTTAACAAGTAAAGCACACCTCAAAAATAACTGTACAATATAAACAATGTATAGTTCACAACATCACAAAGAATTCTTACTGTATTAATCATTTTTCACAAATATTGTGTATTTTTGTAAAAATGTTTTTTGAGGTTGGCATTGAAATGTCACCATTGACATTTATTGCATTTTAGACTATGCAATGACTGTGTGACACTCAGACAAGAACTAGAGTTAAAACATTATATTTCTTCCATAATTTCGTCAAATGAAGTAATATGTTTATCAATCCTTTTCACAAACCTTCATATTTCAACTTTTAAATTTTTTTGGCTATTTCCTCAAAAAATTTTACGGGCTCATTACGGCCAAACCAGGCAAAGCAATCCAGGTTGGCCTGGTTCACCTAGCTAACTAGGAGCCAGCAGGTCATCGATTCGGTTGCTTGAGCCGATTTTTAATCACTGGTTAGAACATCATAGATGAAACATTTTTCATTAAAAATTCAGCATCATCTGATCATGTCAAACGCACTACGGTAGCCAAGATATCAAACATCCAATGAACATTGGGCTCCAATAAATATTGACCAAAGCAACTAAGGCATGTATGGAACTAATAGCGGTACCTATTCTTCATAATTTTCTACAAGATGTAAAGAACTACTTATTTCTTCACAGCATGTCCCTCGCATGGCGAACAAGTTTCTTCTTCTTTTTCTTTTTCTTTTTTATTGTTTTATGCAAATTAACATAAAAAGAGATGTTATGTCAGATTGCATGAGAAATGCAAGAAACAAGAAGTAACTGGCAAAAAGGGAAAGTAAAGAAAAATACAAACAGAATAAAAAAGGTCAAGGAGAAGAAAATGATTTCCTAATGGATAGAGTGACCCTTCACCACTTCTCGGTGAAGGCACTACCTTATGGTAAGCTAATAAGCATATCAAAGAAGACAAATCCTTGGTCTCGAAAATCAATGTACCGTATGATACACTAATTTCCAGATATAATCTATTCCTCTGCAGTTACACAAAAGAAGATTAAGTGAATCACTATCAAATATCAAAGGACTCAGCAAGAAATGGAAGAAGACTGTATCGCTGGCTACAAGCACACTGTTGCTTCCACCTCAATAGAATAGTACAAACAAATGACCCCAAAAGAATTTACAGATTACTATCACATTTATCTCTCAGTACAACTAGCTTTAGGCTCTTGGAAGAGCAGACATCGAGTTTTATAAAACCAACCTGTAGCTTAGCTCTTAAAAGCCCAGATTGGTGTCCAGAAGTGACTACAGGCAACCGAATTTTTTCCATGGACCAAGTCTCAACTCTGAAAACAAATAACTCTTTCTACCTACAAATCAGAAAACCTTTCACGCATTTCCTAAGTCTCCAACATGATGCATTTCAGCAGTTGTTTGTTCCTTCCATATAGCCCAAAAAGATAGGAGGCACATAATCCAGAATAATAAAACCTCTTACATGAAAATGCATAAAAAACAAAGGACCCATTAGAACCATTGCAAATTCATGCATAACCTGGGCATCCACACTTATGTTCAAATTAAAAAGCAAGCATAACCCCTTCCCCTTAGCTCTAAGCACAAGGAGACATGGAACACTTGTATGAAGTGCCCTGAGGAATCGTACTGCCTTTACCCTTAAAATGGATTTGAAAAGCACATTTGATTTCACAATATCTTGCAATGATCTCAATCAATGATAAACTATTTTGAAAGGCACCTCCATAGAGAACCTCAATCCTTTCTCTTTCATCATCTATCTAGGGGTGGTAATTGGGTCGGTCAAGCCGACCCAGGTCCCCTACTGGAACAAATACTAGAACAGAAGAGTACATATCTTTTTTCATTTGGGCCCTCCTGCAGGTGGGCTCTCGGTCCAATGACCTGGGCACCCAGCTCTGGGTCCAACTAGCACCTCGTCAAGTTGGGACAGGATTGACCCAGACCCGACCCCCCCCCCTACATCTCTCCTCTTCATAAATCCACAATTTGTGCCTCAATAATAGAAGATAAGCTAGCTAGCCAGACCTCAGAAACGGGTGTTTAGAGCCTTCGCTCTGCACCATAAATTCATTTATAGACGATCTCTATACCAATTCGTTATCCCAAACAGAATGCCTCCTTGATATCTACTCCAACAAGAAAGATCTGTCTTCAGCCCCATGAAATTTTGTTAGTTCTCCTCAGTACTATAATCCTAGTGAACAGGCCATACATTACTTTAGACCAAAGGCCTTAGGCTCTTGTGGCAATACATCAGTGCCACTCTCCTGATCCCCATAACACATGTGACCTTAGGCTTGTATATATCCTTTTATGTGACCAACGATACTCAGTGTTGTAGAAAACCCTAAAAGCAATCCACAAAAACAAGAAGGAATAAAAAAACACAAAAGAAAGAGATAATCAACCACAACGCAAAGATATACGTGGTTCGGCAACTTGCCTACTTCCACGGGGAGATGAGAGCTTCTTTACTGACAATGGAGAATAGGGTTACAATAGCTCTCTTCCTCATGCCTCTCTGTTCTCTTTGATTACAAAGAAATCTGCGTTTTTCTTTTAACCCTAAAAAAACCCCCCATCGCAACAATATATATCGAGTCCTAGATAGATAGTACAAATTACTAAAATACCCTATGTACGGATACAAAAATTTCCCTTGAGGGCTGCCGCCCCCATGTACGGATACAAAAATTTCCTTCGGCCCTTCGAGCTTTTAACGGCCCTTCGAAGTTGTCTCTTTGACTCCACCTTTGGTAAATATATTTCCTCAGAATACAAGACATTAATCCTCAACAATCTCCAACTTAGCTTGAATTCTGTTGAGCCACCCTGAAGATAACCTGAAGATGTCTTCACCCCCGTACCTCCATAAAGGTACGCGACTGCACCGCCACCTGCCATGGGGTGCTTCCCACACTCTCAAAAATGAGTGACATTAAGCAAGTCCAAGCAAAGCTTGAACTTTGTATGAATTTTCTTCAGGTGAATGATTCCTTCGTATGAATTTTCTTCAGGTGTATGATTCCTTCTGATACAAGCTCCCTGATCTTGTGATATCTCACATCAATATATTTTGTTCTTGTATGAAACACTTGACTTCTTTGCAAGATTTATGGCACTTTGACTATCACAATGCAACACAGTCTCATCTTGCTCCACCCCCAAATCAAAAGCCAAACCAGTCGACCAGATCGCCTCATTTGCAGCCTCAACTGCTACCATGTACTCTGCCTCTGTCGTAGACAAGGCAATCTTGGGTTGAAGCATTGCCTTCCATGAAATAGGTCCACCTGCTAGTATAAAAGCATACCCTGTAGTAGACTTTTACTTGTCTAAATCACTAGCATAGTCGAAATCGATATATCCCACTAGTTCTGTAGAGCTTCTCTTCCTTCTGAACATAATTTCGAGATTTGACGTCCCGCTCAGATATCTGAAAATCCTCTTAATAGCATTCTAATGCTCCCTGCCATGATTACTCATACATCGACTAACAATACTGACAGCATGAGATAAATCCGGCTTGCTACAAACCATAGCATACATGAGGCTTCCGACTGCGCTAGCATAGGGCACCAGAGACACCTATTTTATCTACTCATCCGTCGTGGGACACTGCCGTTTAGATAACTTGAAATGACTCGCAAATAGAGTGCTAACTGACTTGGCCTTTTCTATGTTGAAACGCTCTAGCACCTGTTCAACATACATTTTTTGAGTTACCCAGAGTTTACCTGCACTTCTGTCTCTATGAATCTCCATACTAAGGATCCTATTAGTAGCCCCTAGATCCTTCATATCAAATTCAAAACTTAACATAGACTTGAGAAAAGTTATGTCATATGCATTCTTGGCAGCGATGAGCATGTCATCAACATAAAGCATCAAGAGAATAAGGAAATTATCATCAAGAACTTTAAAATAAACACAAAAATCATACTCACTCCTTGAATAGTCAATCCAAACCATGAAAGAGTCAAAGAGCTTGTACCACTGCCTGGAAGATTGCTTAAGACCATAAATCGATATCTTGAGCAAGCAAACTTGATCTTCCTTTCCATCACCTTGAAGCCTTCAGGTTGTTCCGTAAAGATTTGTTCCTCCAAATCACAATGAAGAAACGTTGTCTTCACATCAAGTTGTTCTAGCTCCAAATCAAACATGGCTACTAAAGCAAGTAATAGCCTTATTGAAGTGTGCTTGACAATCGGAGAGAATATTTCATTGTAGTGCACTCCCTCCTTCTGAGTGTAGCCCTTTGCTACGAGCCTAGCCTTGAATCTCTCACATTCTTTTTCTGTTGCTGCCTCTTTCTTCTGAAAGATTCACCTGCACCCAATCACTTTTCTTCTCTTGGGCCTCTTGACAAGCTCTCAATTCTTGTTCTTTTTCAGAGACTCCATCTCCTCCATCATGGCTATCATCCATTTATCATTCTGTGCATCACTTAGAGCATATTCGAAAGAGTCGATTTCCCCAATACCAACTGTTAGAGCAAAAACTACCATGTCCTCAAAGCTGTATCTCAAAGGGGCTTTATGAGCACATTTTTTTCTACCTTTTGCCAGATTGTAGGTTTCACCATGTGGTTGCTGCTCTTCTGGTATGCTGCTAGAGGAGTCTTCTTTTTCTGGTATTTCAAACTCTCCACCTAGACTGCCAATCTTTCTCCATCACTTTCATCTACTTGCACTCTTTCATCTTGCATGTTGATTGACTTCACCATGTGAGATTCATCAAACACAACATCCCTGCTAAGCACAAACTTATGTGAAGTAGGATCTCAAAGCTTGAATT